ATCAAGGTTTGTTAATAAAATGTAGCGGTGTAAAGCATTAGATAGCCCTTGCACCTTGATGTGAGGCTAAAGACAAGAAGAGTAACTTCTCTTGTTTCCTTTTCATTCACATACAGACATGCACACTTTGCCTTATTAAATCTTTCTCTCCTAACTAACGATACCAACTTTGATTTCACCAGAATGTGGTAAATAATTACGGAGAGAAAGATTAAACTTCCTAAACAAGGGGGGTTAAGTCAAGTCAAAATGAGTAACTTCTCTTGTTCCCTTTCCAATCACATACATAAAGGCACACTTGGTGCTTTATTTAATTTTCTAAACAAGGGGAGTTTAGTCATCTTTAACTTGTGTATTTTACCATAGGAGAAAGTAAGTGAGGCAGACAAGGCGGAGCCCCCTTGCCCACTTTTCACATCTCGCAGAAGTTCTGCCCTGAGACAGGTGGCTAAACTGCTAGACCAAGGCTGTGTCATTGGTGTTCCCACAGACACTGTTTATGCTGTGGCTGGATCATGCAAAGTTCCTGAGTCCATCAAAAAGATCTACATGGTCAAGGTAGGTAACTCCCTTACAATTAATTAATTTTTATTTTTAATTGTGCAAAGTTTTTTTTTTAACTTGATCTGAGAATGGGAAGCTGGAGAAATAATAAATACATGATTTGTACCAGACAAACTGATATAGTGAGTTGATATAAGCTTTGTTAAAAGCACTATTGTTTTCATTCCATAAATAATTAAAACAATTTTAGAGTAAATAAAAAAAAATGTTGCTTTGTTTATGTACAGGGCAGACCAGCAGAGAAGCCCATATGTTTGTGTCTATCTAATCTGGATCAGTTGGCTGCAGTGGAGCCACCTTTTAGTGACCTGCTCTGGAACTTCATGAGACGATGTTATCCTGGTGGCATTAGTTGTGTGGTACCTAAAGGAGACTGGTTAAGGGTAGGCATAAATAGTATCTTCTTTCTTTATTCTGTCATTTTGCTTCATTCTGCCATATCTCTTTGCTTCATTCTGCCATATCTCTTTGCTTCATTCTGCCATATCTCTTTGCTTCATTCTGCCATATCTCTTTGCTTCATTCTGCCATATCTCTTTGCTTCATTCTGCCATATCTCTTTGCTTCATTCTGCCATATCTCTTTGCTTCATTCTGCCATATCTCTTTGCTTCATTCTGCCATATCTCTTTGCTTCATTCTGCCATATCTCTTTGCTTCATTCTGCCATATCTCTTTGCTTCATTCTGCCATATTTCTTTGCTACATTCTGCCATATCTCTTTGCTTCATTCTGCCATATCTCTTTGCTTCATTCTGCCATATCTCTTTGCTTCATTCTGCCATATCTCTTTGCTTCATTCTGCCATATCTCTTTGCTTCATTCTGCCATATCTCTTTGCTTCATTCTGCCATATCTCTTTGCTTCATTCTGCCATATTTCTTTGCTACATTCTGCCATATCTCTTTGCCTCAATCCACCATATCTCTTTGCCTTATTCCACCATATTTCTTTGCTTCATGCCCCCATATCTCTTTGCTTCATTCCACCATATCTTTTTGCTTCATTCCACACCTATTTCCACCATATCTCTTTGCTTCATTCCACACCTATTTCTTTGCTACATTCCACCATATCTCTTTGCCTCAATCCTTCATATCTCCTTTCCTTACTCCACCATATATTTTTGCTTCATTCCACCTATCTCTTTGCCTTATTCCACCATATATTTTTGCTTCATTCCACCTATTTCTTTGCTACATTCCACCTTATCTCCTTGCCTTATTCCACCATGTCTTTTTGCTTCATTCCACCTATTTCTTTGCTACATTCCACCATATCTCTTTGCCTCATTTCACCATATCTCTTTGCCTTATTCCACCATATCTCTTTGCTTTATTCCACAATATTTCTTCTTCATTCCACCATACTTTGATATCTACTAACTGAAAGTATTTATTTCCTCTCTGAAAGATTAGCGAATAGACAACTTTTATATTCTGCTATAATTATTAAAACAAAATTAAATTGTTGTTGTAAAAAAATATTTTGCTGAGTCATGTACATGAGTTGATCATCCCTAAAGATGAACATAATATTTTACTTTTAGAGTTGTATAAAGATTATCATTAAATTAATTTATTTATTGTTAAGGATTACTTGAACATATCTGCCTAAAATGATATTGATAAGCAGCTCATTCAAATGTATTCGTGTTCGCAGAGATTAGGTTTGGGTGATGCTGTTAATTATGTAGGCACTGAACACAGTATTTGCATTCGAGTCCCTGATAGCTCCGTGTTGGCCTACCTTGTCAGTTTGTCAGGACCAGTTGCACTGTCGTCAGCCAACCCAAGCGGTGGAGATGACAGCACTCATCATGACATGGTCATCAACTCACTTGGTTTGTCATCCTTTTAGTCGCTTTTATAGTTACAAAATAAATACCATAATACCACATTAAATAAGTTATAAAAGTTAAATACCAATAACCCAAACTATTGTCAAATTAAGACTTAACCCACTGAGTCGATAAATAAATATGACTTTTCAATGATATATTATTGTACAGGAGACAAACTAGATGGCGTTGTGTGTGATGGAAAATCTAATGAACTGGTGGCTTCCACTGTAGTCAACTGTCTCAAAATTGATGAAGGTGAGTATCATCTTTTAGATTTTGAGTCACTATCTCACAAGAAACATGAGTATCTTTAAAGTTTTGAGTCTAGCCTTGAGTGTGCCATGTTATATCTTTAATCTCATGTCCTGATTGATTGTTGATTGCAAAGCTGATCATAAAACAATCACATTTATTTAGTTGTTATCATTTGAATAGTCTTTTGTTTTCAATACGTCTGTAGCTAACAATCTCTTATTGACTAAATATTTGTTTTGCAATGATAATGAAACTTTTTTGTTATAATTAAATGGTGTGATTATGCAATATTTGACATACATCTGAAATGCAACAGTGATCAATATATAATACTGTCAATTCAACAGGAATCATTACCTACTTCCGTATTGGCTGCACACCACAGGAAGTTGTTGATGGTCATTTTGAAGCTGCCAAAGCAGAAACTGTTGCCAAACCCACCAAGTTAGATATGGATGCTAAGTTGTCTTCCTAAATCCCATCATTGCAAATATTTTTCAGAAAATTAACTTCACTCAACAGCAAGGATTTCTGTCTACACTAGGCCATTAGACAATTATTTTTTCACATCACAGAAATTACTGTATTTTGTTTTACCATTCTTCATAAGATTTTTTTTTTTATAATAAAAAAATTTTGAATTATGGGAGCATGGCTTTTACCAGCTTAAAATTTTTTCATTTGATAAGGAGAATTAAAAGTTATATTTAAATTTCCTCACAAAGAATAAAGATTATTATTAATATTGTTCACAGTACTTTAATATTTAAATTCAAAATGTGGGTTAGTGTTATTTCAGGGTGGTTGTATACATGATACAGATGAAATTATTTGTAGCTTTCAGTATTTAGATAAATTAAAAGAACATTCATGGGTCTAAAAAAAAAGTTGTGATACAAAATAAATTACAATGACATAACTGTATATACAAATTTTGTAAATATTTAAGTTAAATTTGTATTTGTTTTGTGTTTTCCTAAATATAATTTAACACTGATTGAATGCTGTCTTTATTTTGATGCAAGTCTCTTATTGCAATACCTCATTAGAAAAACTTCACAAGTGTGCTGGCGCACTTTGAGCTTCCTCATTGTCACACATATTGTAATCTACCAAAACTTGAATGAATATTGTGTAAATGATTTGGTTGTATACCTGGTTTAAATATTTATGCATTAAACGTTTTGCTGTGTAAATGTTATTAGTATACTACTAGTAGAAATATTTATTTTTAAATGATTGTTAATGAATTTTGTAGTTCTTAATAACTTAATACATGTAATCAATTTGCTTTTGTCAACTATTCAGGTTGTTTAATATTAATTCAGTCTGTACAATATAAGGCGCTGAATGCTCTGTTGTTTTTATTTCACATAAAATATTATTTATGCTGTGTGCAAATATTATATAAACAAAGCAAAGCTACAAATACAAATATATTTTGAAAACAACTTTGTTGGTATTGACTTCCTTCAACCACTATGAAAGATTATTGTTTGTATACATAATAAAGAAATATTTTACACTTCAAAAAAAATTCATTACTAAAAGGACATACTAGTATAATAAATAAAAAAATTGTACCCATGCTTCAAGCTGTGTGGCTGAAAGGCCAAAACCACTTGGATAAGTGTTTGCTGAGTGCAGCACTGAAACTTCTCACATACCACCTTCCCCCACTGGTCCACAAAGAGATTGGATCACAACGCGCTGAGCATGCAATAAGCATAAAAGATGTGCCATGTAAAACAATTTAAAACAAAATAAAATTGGGTTTTAGTAAAAAAAAAAAAAAAAAAGAATTTGTCTTAATGTTTAGAGGTACGACTTCTGGCCATTTTGATATAATGGATACCTGAACCAAAGACATTGGCAAAAAGTTAGTTGAAAAAACAAGTGTCTGCACATTATTTCCAGGTCAAACTTTTAATGGCACATTATATAATGCAGCAATGTAGCAATAGAACGCCACAAAACATTCTGTATGGGGATAATAGAATGCAAGACAGCAGCTGGTTGCCCACTTTTAAGGTATGCTGATGTATGCAAATACAAGATGAAGCTCTTCAAAATCAACACTAACAAATGGGAAAAAGAGGCACTGGATAGATTTCCATGGAGAGCGAGCATAAAGCAAGTGTCCTGGATTGCAGATGGCTTACACACGAGAAGTAGAAAGAAGGGTGAAAGTCAAACAGCGCCTGGTGATTACAGATGCCCAACCTGTGACCGCAGCTGTGTATCACGGATTGACACCAGAGAAGATGCAAAGGGGAAAGATCATTTCTCAAGACATTAAATGCCACAGATATAACGTACATACAGACTATTTGAAAAAAAGCACACACACAATTTTTTTTTTCTTGATCATTTATTATTAATATTAACATCAATACAAAAATAAAAATAAAATCTGAAATCTTTACAAAAATGTTTTGCAGTCAAGAAAAAAAAATCACATAACATGCATTGCAGATTTGTACAACCAATTTATATGATATTTGAAACAATAATATACACTGACATTGGCTTGAACGTAGACCATTTAAAGCATTTAACCATCAAAACTACAAACAGCGATATCCCCATACACCCTGTCTAAGAAATACAAGCAGTATCCCCATACACCTTGTCTAAGAATTACTAGCAGTATCCCCATACACCTTGTCTAAGAAATAAAAGCAGTATCCCAATATACCTTGTCTAAGAAATAGCAGGTTAGTATGAGAGAAAGATTGACAGACTGCACCTTAGTATCAGTTCAGTAGCTGTTTACTTGGTCAAAAGTTATTGACTACATAATTTGTTACAGCTAATTATTAATTAATACAAGTTAACAGAAGGCTCGCTGCTCCTTAGATCCGAATAAATACAAAATCTGATGACATAATATATAACTGTTTTCTTAACATGGATTAAAGAAGTTACATTTTAATTTAACTCAAATTTGAATAATTCAAACAAGAGGATGATGGGAATGAAAGAACATATGGGAAAAAAATGTGAGATCAGTCATTCTTAAATATATACGATATACTAATTGCAACTAATTCTGAATAACATTACATCTCAAATGACTCACTGGGATTTATAAAGAAAAACAATAAAAAAGCTTAGTGTTGTATACAAATTACCAAAAGTTAGTTTTAGCTGCCTGAATGTTCTATCAAGCTTCAAGCAGTTTATGTTCATAAAAACATGGTCCTAACAAAGAGATTGATTTGGGATGTGCCATTACTTTGTAACTATTAGCTCTTTCTCTGTAATAACTGAATACATTTCTTTAGTTTAAAATATTCAAATGATCTAACAATTAACTATACTATCATCTATCAAGCACATTGCCCATTTAATTCAAGTTGTATAAAAAAAAATGGTTAATAAAATATCACAAAAAAATGAACTAATTATTGAATTTCTGAATGTGTTTAGTTAGAATGCTGTGTTTTGTTTGATTGAGTGATGTGTATTTGTGTTTAGTTTGTATGCATGAGATATAATGCTTGAGGTATTTTGTTTACTTGCATGAAGTGTTCAGTTTGAATGATTAGTGTTAAGCTCTGTATAACTTGATTCCTCAGAGTCGGTCCACTCTATTTATGTAGTTGGATATTTCTATCAGGTTGCCATCAGGATCTCTAATGTAGATAGAACGTATGCTGCCAACAGCGCCAGTTCTTTCAACAGGACCCTCCACTATACTAATGTTTAACCTCTGAAAAACAAAAAGAATAAAACTATACTGTAACTTTTATAGTAAAAAAAAAAACAAGTGACGAACACAGGAAATAGAAATAATTTGATTAAGTTACTTAGTTAATATACTTATAGAGGTATGTTACATTCAAGAATAGATACTGCAATTTGTTTACTACAAAAAAAAAAAAAAATACACCTAGTGTCTTATTGCAGTATAATTCAAATAGCTCATTGAGTGACTAGATTTATTCTTGTGAAGTCAAAAAGCCTTTCGATGCGAAAAAAAAGAAACAAAAAAACTACATAAAGGAAATCTTTGGCTCAAAAGTTCAGATTCAATGGATTCATTTCATTTATATTACTTAGCTTTGCTTCAAAAATATATCTGATTTCAATAAAGTGATTCTGTCAGACATAGCTACTTTTGGTGGACTTAATAAAGTCGGAAATTTCTATTCTTGGGTTTTGTTTTGTGTTTTATTCACGGTGATGTATGAGGGAAAGAAAAGGCTACATCAAAATATATTAACTCTGTAACAACGCTCCCATTGTTGATTTTACCCAACTATAAAGCTCAGATCAATGCTGGCAACGTCAGTGTTTTAAAATGTATTTGTTCTTTTTTTTCTGCCGTACATGTTTTTAATTGCTTAAAACATTATCTTGAATAGTTTCCCTTTGCTAGACATTCTGAATTTCAATGTGTTTTTACAGAAAGATTTTTTTTAAAGTGGGGTCTTAAAACGTCTCTAAGTTCTTTAAATTGGTGTTCTGGATGATAGTAACATGAGATAATAAGCTCTGAACATTCATTTTATGTGTTTTAAATGGTTTTCATATAAAGTTATGTGGAAATATGAATAAATATTGCAAATAATTTTTTGTATACTTAAGATCATAATATATATAGACTTGACTTTTTCATAGTGGTCGTTTTTCACTTTTCCAATAGTAGTGACGGAAAATTAGCTCAAAGATTCCAATTATGTTTAGATGAGTTTTCTCTATAAAGTTTTGTAACACTGTTGATATTATAAAAAATATTCCCAATATGAATCCTACAATTTTTCCAAGATCAGGTCTATATGTAGATCCTGGAGGTTTTTTCGCAATCTGTAACTTTTCATTTTTAAATTTCAAACATTAAATTAATTTTGTTTAATAAAAAGGCATACGTCCTCCTTTAATTCTATAACAAATATATAATTTTCTAATAAAAACAAGTTATACAAAATTTAAGCATTTTTTGCACACTTAAAGGGCGAAAACATTAAGTCCGTCCAAGAGTGGAAAATAATTCCAGAGTCAAAGAGTCGAATATGTATTGAATCAAAAAAGATACATTACTTAAAAAAAAAGTGAAGTAAGAATGTAATTTCACTGAAGAAATGTCTTCATGAAGTGGTGAATAATTTTTTTACAAACGTTTTTTTACTATATTACACTGCAGCATAATACATTACCAGCAAACCAAAGAAAAATCCTGCATTTAAAACATATAGTGCCATGCAGTGAATTTTGAAGAGATGTCTTCATTAGTTCTAGGTGACCATAAAGCCTGTTATGGTCATAACATCATTATGTGTAAAGAATCATTTAAAAAAAAAATCTTTTCTACAACTTTGAAAATTAAAGTAAATGTCAGATTTCTTAGTTAAATCGACTAATGTACCGTTTTTTTTATTTATTTTTTTTCAACTCACTGGCTGAGGCAGAAGTGTGTGGTAGAAAGTTTATGTGGACAAAATCAGAATCTTAAATGTCTGTATGGGTCAGTGTTAAACTGCATGACTTTCAGATCCTCACCTGTAGATGTTCTAATACATCATCTAATACACTGGTGGTCAGGAAACAAAGATCAGCTGATCCAGGGGTTGGTATATAAGATTTGGGTTCAAATTCCTTGCCATATTCATGAAGGTTAATTTTTTGAACTCCGTAATTTAATGCTTTTCGCCCACCCTGGAAAATATAAATGATCAGTCCTATGTACTAAAGCACACACAAAACTTTATATAAAAGAAAATTAATTAACTTAGACACTGCTGCATGGTACGTGACCTGATTATAGTGAACTATTTTTCTCAATAATAAGTTATATTAGGCAATTTCTTTTTACTTTTTAAAATCAAATTTTAAAAAATCCCTATGATCAAAACTTGTGGAATATAAAAAAAACACTATTAAAACCAACTATAACAAACAATGTAGACAACTAAACTTTTCACAAACAAATTTCATAAGCCATGTGTATATGCACTTAACTGTTGATTGACCCACAGCCTCCAACTTTCATGGGGAAAATTATGAGACCATGTTTAAACTATCTGCAGACAGCAAATTTATACATTTTCATAAAAAAAAAAGACTAATTTTTTAGTAGGAGCATGTTCTAAAACTTTTTGATCATTTGAATAGATGTATCCTACCTTAAATGTTGTGACCTCCATTCCCAAAACCTTGGTGTAAAAATCAACCGTTTTATCCAAGTCTCTGACAGTCAGTACTAGGTGATCTAAACTAGCTATCTGGAAAGGGCGCCCTGAAGATTGATTGCTAGCATTCTTCACACAAGTTGTGGCCACTTGAGCTTTCTGTAAAAATAATTGTTACTATTAGTTGTATTTTTTAAAAATGTTTAATAACATTATAAGAAATCTAATTACCATGTTTTGTTTGGTGTAATGCACAAATTGTAAGACAAATTTCATTATAGATAATAAATCTTATTATTATTATTATTACAATATATGACATATAATGAACAGAAAAGATAGACTGGATGCCAAATTGAAGTGGATTCAATAGATGATAATATTTGCGCACTACATAGAAATGTACATTATTGTAGCATATTAAAGGAGTCAAAAGTTTTTAAGCTGGCGATTTTTAAGTGTAGTCAGGTGTAAGCATATTTACAAACAGTTTTACCATGAACCAAATATTTGCCTCTAATAACTTTACACACTATATATATATATATATATATATATATATATATATATATATATATATATATATATATATATATATATGTCAGCCAGAGGTCTAGTAGTAAACAGACATGTCATTGTTTCGCTTCTATATTTTCATTTAAATTATGCCCCTTTAGAGGCTGAGTTGAATTGGTTCTATCTGCCTGTTGTAGAGGTAAATCTTCTTCAAACAATGGAAGAAAATTCCAGAACTATCAGAATTGTGTTACAGAAGTTATGTTTTATACTAAATGCAACACTAATCATCATCATCATCTGTTCCTTGACTTTTGTTGTAGGGATGCTGTGACAGTTTGTGTAAAACCAAATTCCTCCATTTTTCCTGGACAGTAGCTGGTCCATTTTTTATAGTGTCCAGCCAGCTATTCTTTAGACTACCATCTCTTCATGCTCTCCCACTGTACCTTGAAGGATTACTTTTAGACAGTGAGTCATATCTTAAAATATGACCAAACCAGCTCAGCTTTCATCTCTTCACAGTATTGAGGAATTCCTATTTTTTGCTTGAGTTTTGTTTGACTAACTCATTTGCCTTCTGCTATCTGATACCTAGCATTTTCTCTAGCAAAATGGTAAAAATGAATTTCTCTGGATATGTGGTTGAGTTGCATATTAACCTATTGACTGCCTATAAAATGAACCATTTCAAAATCCAACCCATGCTAAGTTGTGTTTACTGAGAGCCTAATGACAGTATGGAAACCTCAAAGATTACTTCTTTCCTCTTCCGGTATACAAAAGCAATTTTTAAAAAAAATCTGTAAAACAACTTATCTGAAAATAAAAAGTGTTAAAAACTTGCAAACTCAAACTGGAAACAAGGATCATAGGATTATTTATATCTTTCTAGCTTGTCCTGAATTTCCTTTGTGGAGTTTGGCCAGTAAACTAAAATGTCAAAAGTGTTTAAGACTTAAGATGGATCAAAGAAAAACATTAC